GTCCTTCAAGCTTGGGAAGCACCAGGCGAGCTACCCCCTGTCCCAGGGCCTCCTGCTTCCGCCTGGAACAGAAGAGCCGCAGCTCGGCCCGCTCCTCCTCCCCAAGGGCCAGGCAGTAGTGCTCCTGCAGAAACAGTCCTCTACAGTTACTGGGAGAGCTCCAGCAGGAAAGATTGAGCATTGGTTGGAGGAAGAAAGGCTTGGCTGCTGGGTCAGAGAAACATTGTAGAACCTCAGGGAGATGCCAGAGATAATGGCATAGAAGGGGAAATCGAAGAAGAAGGAAAGGAGCTCAGGAAAGGCCACCTGAGTCTCCCCCTGCCCCCCTAGGAATGGTCATCAATCAGGTCCTGACAGGCCCACAGCACTCAGCCCTGTCACCATTAGGTCCTTGCTCCCAGTGAGCTAAGAGCTCAGTATCACTTCCAATTCTTGCATTTCCTCAAATTATTTCATATACTCCTGTCTTGCCTCCCCAACTGAATTGTAAGCCTTTAGGCTGGGCACATGTAGACCCTCAATAAATATGTAACAACCATACTCTCTACATTTGTACATTCCATTATCCGTTTCAAAAGTCGTTCATGTCCATTTTCTCATTTGCTCTTGAACTAAGCATTGTGGTGGGCAGAGCAGATGTTACTGCACCCGCTATTGTTACTGCCAACGTGAAAACTCAGGCAGGGGGAGAATGACACCCCAACCAGTGGCATAGCTGGGCCTTAAATCCACATCCCCTAACTTCTGGACTGAGGTTCTTCCCACAGTAAGAAAAGAGAGGGGCAGGGAGAGGCAAGAGAGGGAAGATGGGGAGAGGAGACCCACATCAATGTCCTGTGGAGGGAGTTGCTGCAGGAGGGTCCGAAGCCCAGTCCATTTGGGGGCTTGGTTGGTGTCCAGGCAAAGGGAACCCAAGCTCAGAACTGAAGGACCCTGAGGAGACATGGAAGAAGGGGAGGAGTGAAACTAGGTTTTTCTTTCTCCTTTCCCCCTAGTCATTGCCACCTCTTCTCCAATCTAGAGCAGCTTCTAAGCATGCCCTCCATTTGGGAGGGTCCTCCTTCCAGATCTTCACTGAGCGCAAGGATAGCTGACTGATGCCTGTATCTGTGGTCTTCCTTGAGGGAGGGTGGGGAGGCCCCACACCCCAAAACAGCTTCCCTTCTTATGCTTTCCCTTCTTAACCCCCTTCACGCCTTGGGGCCAAAGCCCCTAGAGTCTGCTTTGACAACACAGATTCCCTAGGAGAGGTAATGGATATTCATGTGAATGAGTTTAAAGTCAAAACCCCATGTTCTCAGCAGGTGCACAGACAGGAATTCCTGAAAAGAGAGAAAGGCAGTAAGAGATTAGGCACGAAGTCAAACTACGGGTTAGTGGAAAAAGGTGGCCACTCCACAGGATAGAGGATATGTTGGTCTCAGAGGAAGGGCACAACTCTACTACCTGAGCAGAGGTGTCCTCAGGGTCCTCCGCCGGCAGGTGGTCTGAGTCACTGTCTGAGTTGGCTGGCGGACCTGGATCCTGGGGCTTGGGGCTGTCCTCTTGGTGGGGCCAGCCAGAGTTCTGCACTGACATTAGTGGCAAAGGCTACCCCAAAACAATAAGAACACCTTCATGTATTAGGCCGTTACAATGTGCTAGGAAGTGTTAAGTGCTTTATAGGTATTATTTCCCTCAGTCCTCCCAACACCCAAATGACTTAGGTAGTATTATCCCCGTCTTACAGATGGCCCAACTGAGGATCAGGCCATGAGTAACATGCCTGAGGTCAAACAGCCAGTAAGTGGCGGAGCCAGGTCTTGAGGTCATGTCTTTTGGTCCAGAATTTCTGAAGTTCAAAATTCTGGGGTCTCCCAAGATTGGGATGGAGGTAAGCGGAGGCCCATGGTAGAAGGAGAGGGCACTTTGCCTTTCTGGTGGGCCTTTGGGCAGGCTGGCCCCTCTCTCCTTACCTCATCAGCCTTAACTTCCACCATTTCTCACCATGCACCCACAGCCCCAGTGAGCATGCTTCTTCACAACTTCCTACATGGGTCCAGTTTTTCCAGCTACATAGGCTTGGGCCTCTGGTTAAAGGATCTCCTTACCAGGAAACCCTTCTCAGCCTCTGTGACCATACCAGCTCTCCCTTCCCTGAGCAACTGAAGCAAGCAGTGCCCCAAGATTCAGTGCCCCAAGATTTAGCACCTAATGTTTTTCTCTGCTCCCTGCATCTCTCTCGGCTCCTCATCTATGACTTCCTCGAGGACAGGAACACCTTGCACTTTTATATATAGCAGCAATTGCATTGGATAATCTAAGTTCATCTCTTCAGTTTTCCTCTCGGCAACTCCTGATATGACTACAATATCTTGGGGGTAAGAAGTGACTATTGGTACAGTGGTTCAGGCCAGTAATCCCAGAACTTTGGGAGGCTGAGGCAGGCGGATCACCTGAGGTCAGGAGATCGAGACCATCCTGGCCAACATGGGGAAACCCCGTCTCTACTAAAAATACAAAAATAAGTCAGGCATGGTGATGTGTGCCAGTAATCCCAGTTACTAGAGAGGCTGAGGCAGGGGAATCGCTCCAACCTACCTGGGAGGCAGAGGTTGCAGTGCAGTGCACTCCAACCTGGGCGACAGAGTGAGACTCCATCTCAAAAAAAAAAAAAAAAAAAAAAAGTGACTATTAATGTAGAGAAGAGATGAGCCCTGCCCTCAAGGAGCTCATAGTGGGTAAGACAAAGATGAAACCAGGTAGAATGGGATCAGAGCTCTGGGCAGATACAAACCCTGGAGAAAAAAATAACCAGAGCAAACTTTTTAATAATATTTACTCTGTGCCAAGGACTCTTCTAGAATATTATATGATATAGTCCATCCTCACAATAATCTTATGAGGTAATTTCTTTTATTCCACTTGACAGTTGAAACAATTAACTGGCCCAAGATCATACCAGCGGCTAAGGGAAGCCTTAGGGGCATCTGGCTTCTGAGAGCTGGGATAGATTCTCAAAGTAGCTAGGCACAGGAGGGTCATCATCAAATCCCTGGCCTCTGTAAGACTGGGCCAGGGATTTGTATTGGGGTTGAGGTGAGGGTTTGGACCGTAACAGTTAATATTGCTTCCCAGCACTGAACCCTCCTCAGCACTGCCCCTCCACTCCCACTTCAAATGTCCTGTGCCACCCTTCCCTCCTTCCTGGCTTCACACCCACCTGCTTCCTTCCTCTTCTGTCCCTCAGGTCAGGCTTCCTGTGGAAGGTGGCCAGGATGGGCTGTTCACACCCGGAGTAGCCACTAACAGCACTGCCCCTGCTCCAGGCAGCAAGAAAGGAGGGAGCATCTGGGGCCCCAGGAGAATGACTTGCACCCTCTTCCATTTTAGCTCTAGTTTGCATGGAATTGTCCAACACAGAAACAACGCTCAGAAATCAGGCCTCTACTCCTCACCCTTCCATCTCCCCAAAGGCAGCCAGACTCCACCTCCACCTAGCACTGGGACACCCTTACTAACAGGCCAGCTGGATTCCCTCCATAATTCCCTTCCCCCTCCCACCTCAGATAAGGGACAGAGCTGAATCCCTTGTCTTGCCTCTGTGCAGGTGCAAGAGGGCTCAGGAGCTGGACATCCCCAACCCCCGCTGCCCTGAAGGGCAGAGCCCGAGAGGACTTAGGGCTTGGGGAGGTGGAGGGATGGGAAGATTTCTGGGGACAGTGGGAGGGAGAAGGAAGGGGAGTGCCCGGTCCCGCCGAGTGCCCTCTCGGTAGATCCCCAAAGCTTTTCTAGAACTTGGCGGGCCCGCCTCCGGGGCTGGGACGCGGAGTTTCCCGAGTCCGCTGGGCTTCCGGGTCTGGCTGCTGGGATTTTAGGGGAGTGGACCAGGACTTGGCTGGGGTCTCACCATCGCTGTGCGTCGCTGTCCGGGCAGTTCTGGACCGACTCTGCCGTCAGGCCCCTCACCCAGACCCCACCCGAAGGCGTCAGCGCCCGCCCCCGTCCGCCCCCGCCGGCCCCCGCCCTCACTAACAGCGCGGCCCTTCCTCTCCCACGCCCCAGGGGTCCCCGCTCGCCCCTCCCCTGCTGGTGGAGAGGGGCGGCTCAGGGAGGGGCCTGGAGCTGCAGATTGGGGGCGGGGGGGAAAGCAAAACAAAACCACATTTGTGGGATCTCAGGGTGGAAATGTACGGGCTCCACGGCCTCTGCCATGCAGGTGCAGGGGCTCAGGCTGGGACTGCGCCCGGCGGGCATCCAGTAGACGCCGGGAGCCGCGTTTACGCTGGGTTCTCAACCACTCGCTGAATGGAAACGACTCGCCGGGCGCGCAGCCCTGTCCCTCTGCAGTTCCCAGGTCTCCCCAAACTCTCCCTCTGGTCTCCCAGCCCCGCCCCTCCGCGTGTTTCCCTTCAGTTCTCTCCCCCTTGTCTCCAGTGGTCCCCCTGGCCCCTTCCCCTCCCCTCAGCCCTCTTCCGGGTTACATCGTCTTGCCTGTCTCCCTTCAGGTCCCTTCAGACCCTCTCCCCTTCCCTTCGTTTCTCGCCCAACCCTCCATCCCCTTTTCGCTCGCTGCAGCACCCCCAACTTTGGTGTCCTCAGCCCCGCCTCTGCGCCCCGCCTCCGCCGCAGGCTCCGCCCTTCCCCCCCGCCGGGCTTTCTCAGCCCCTGGCCAGGAGCGCCCTCTAGCGTCTGCGCATGCTCACTGCTCCCGACTGCAAAGTCCTCCAAAGGGACCTTCTAGGCTGCGTGCCGGTCGCCCCCGCTCGGGTCCGCCCGCCCGCAGCGTCTCGTTGGTGCTGCCGGTGACCTCCGACCCCGCGGCCGCGGGGCGGGGCGGGGCGGGGCGGGGAGGCCTTAGCTCTGGGCGGGCGGCGGCTGCTGCAGCGGGACCCGGGAGCGGGGCCCGGCGCCGCCCGGGCCGCGGGGCGATGTGAGTCGGGGCGCGGCGGGGCGGGGACGAGGCGGCTTCACCGAGGCCGCGTCGCGCCGCGCCGCAGTCTCCACTCCCTCCCTAGGAAGCCCCGGGCAGGCGGGCGGCGGAGCACCGGGGCTGGGGGCGGGGATCCGGGGAGAGCGCGCACCCAGACCTCTTCATTCCTTACGGGCGTCTAGAAATTCCCCTGACAGTCCTGCAGACTCTGGCTCCCCTAACCCACCTCTACCCTTTCCGCCCTGGACACACCATCGCATCTCCTGGAGCCCTCAGAACCCCCTCACTCGCTCAGCAAATCTGCTATGCGCACGGACCCAACATTTCTCTTGGATGCCCCCAAATGCTTCCACTGCCCGGAAATTCCTAGGATCCCTCATATCCGTATTCTCCTTGCACTATCCAAAATGCCCACATCCAAAATTCTTGCTCATGTTTCCCCAAACGTCCTCATACGTTTTCAGCCCCCACACCCCATCTAACTCCTGCCCCTGATCATACCTATCCAAGACCAGAGGCCTCTCGCCATTTCCACTCAATGCAGTCCTTCCTCAGTGAGCTATGTGGTCCATCCTGATATCTTAAGGAGAAGAGATGGTGATAGGGAAGTGCAACCCCTCCCCCATCTTGCACCCTAGAGTTCTTGGTGCCCCCACCCTCCCCCCACCCCGTCTGTGGCTCAAGCCCCAGTATTTTCCCAGCAACCTGTCTTTAGTCCTTGCACACCTCCCTGAGCCTGCTTCTTCCTTCCAGAAAATAAGCCAGACCAAGGGGATGGGGTCCTTTTACCTGGAAGTTGTCCAAGGTTGCAGGGTGCAAGGGGCCCTGGGAAGTATTGTTTCTCCAGAGCAGGAATGTGGAATGTCCAGGGGTCTGCAGGGTCCTGGCTTGTTGACGTGTTTACCTTGGGCTCAGAGGCCCTGAAATTTTGGCTTACTGTTAACATTTATGTTGAAATTAGACCTTTCAGAGCTTGGGGAGCAGAAAATCTATCAAGCTTCCAAATGCGAAATTGAAGCAGCCTGTCTTGGAAGAGGAACATGTCAATTTTAGTGATGTTTGTCTTACATTTTTGCCTTACAAGTTATTTAAGCTAGAAGCTCCCCAGTTTATAGATGGTTTCCCCAAAAACTAAGACCTTAGGTGGGAGTTGGGGGGTTGACTTAAGTCTCCCAGATACTTAGTAGCAACAAAACTGACCGGAATATTGGTTTCCTGAATCTTAAACCAGTGCTCTCTCTACTATATCACAGTGTCCTTTTGAGAAAGCTCTTTGTAGAGTTAAAGTTCTCTGCAAAGGTAAGGTGATGGTTTTGATGTTTGTTGTAACAGGACTCAGAGGGAGACACCTAAAGTGACTTAAAAGGCCTTGGCCAGGCGTGGTGGCTCACACCTGTAATCCCAGCACTTTGGGAGGCTGTGGCGGGTGGATCACAAGGTCAGGAGATCAAGACCATCCTGGCTAAGATGGGGAAACCCTGTCTCTACTAAAAAAAAAAACAAAAAAATTAGCCGGGCGTGGTGGCGGACGCCTGTAGTCCCAGCTACTGGGGAGGCTGAGGCAGGAGAATGGCGTGAACCCAGGAGGCAGAGCTTGCAGTGAGCTGCGATCGCGCCACTGCACTCCAGCCTGGGTGACAGAGTGAGACTCCGTCTCAAAAAAAAAAAAAAAAAAGGCTTTGGGTTGTCTTAGACTTCAAACTCATTGATGCTCTGGGAGTCTGTCCCTCTCAGGGCCCATGGGGCTTGGAATTTGTGCTCTCTTTGCCCTTGATTTTACTTTCTTCATTGGTGTTTTTGTCCCATTAGGGCTGAAACACATATCCAGGTGGGATGGACTGCCAGGTCAGTTTAATTAACAGTTGGGGGTGAAGATAGAAGGTTTTATTAATCAGTGTCTCTGTTTCCTATGCTAGGTGAGCCCCAGGTGTATCCCAGAGGGATCCAGGTGACTTCTCTGCAGACTGTTTGCCATGACAGCCCAGCAAGGACAGGGGGAATAAAGTGGGAACCCTTCCCCATGCCCTTCCCAATGGCCTGGGTGAGGTAAGAGCTGTGTATAGGAGTCAGTTTTATGGCGTTTCCCAAGTTGGGAGGAACAGAGGATACAGGTCACCTGGTTATTCAAAGCTTTACCATTCAGCAGGAGTTCTAGAAGGATAGCCAATCCTACAGACTCATTTCTTGTGACAAGTTGCAACCCCTTAAAACTTCTGCTTGGTATTGGTCCATGCGTTTCTTGTTCCCTTAGGTCATTCAGGCCTGGGTGGTGTCCTCTTCATTCTAGGCACAGCCCTGACTGTTGTGACATATCATCCAAGTACCAGAATCCTGGAGGGAAGAGCCAAATAGTAACGCCTCTGGTCTCCCCTTCAGACAAAGGGAAGCAAACCCAGCATTTTGTGTGTGTGAAGAAATATCCAATTCAGGTTATTAAAATTGTGCACAGTTTTAAATGTTCAGTCTTCCGAATGTATCTTTTTGATCACAATGTAACAACTCATTTGAAGAGGATATCAAAAAGATAAATTTGCGCTGGATGTTGGGATGGTAGTAAGGGAGAAGAGAGAACTTGGATGAAGTGGAATGGATGAGCTAAAAAGGGAGGAAAAAAGAGACAGGTACAGGCCAAAGTGTCTGATACCCCCCAAGTGACAATTTCTTTGCTGAATCCAAATAAGGGCCTTGGGTTGGCACCCACCTCCATCTGCTGTAGATCACTTCTCCTGGGCCCCTACTTTTCTTCCTGCCTATGTCCTTCCCTTGTCATTACATGGGTCAGAATCCTACATACTTCTCAAGGTCCAGATCGAAGGTTACCTCTGAGAAGCTCTCTCCAGCCCCCCATCAGCATTCATCCTTAACACATTGTAACTTGAGTTAAGGTTTATCAAATGTGTGTCTGGCCTGGATTGAGAATGTGAAGTCTTTGAGGGAGGGTCTGTATCACACAGTCTCTTGCAAAGAGTAGGTGATCACAATGAGTGCTTCTTCCTGAGTTCCCCAGAGCAGGGTTTTTTGAAGCTGAAGTTGGTGACCTGCATATCCTGTATGTTTTTCCTAGGGCAGGCTGGCTGCTCTGACACCATGGGGAGCTGCTGCAGCTGCCTGAACAGAGACAGCGTTCCGGACAACCACCCCACCAAGTTCAAGGTACCCAGAGCCCTCTCCTCTCCTGCGTTCCCAACATGGCCTCTTGGGCTCAGACACAACTTAATGGAGTTGTCTCCGCTTCTCTAACAGCAAATCAAATGCCAGGCTGAGTTGTAGGCTTATGGAGACTTCTCGAGCTCACACCCTCTCAAGTAGCCTGAGGAAAAGAGGCCCAGACTACTGCTGTTTTCATGGCTCTTGATATTACCAAGAATGAAAAAATGCCATAATGATGCTTTTGGAACTGTTGTCAGTGTGTTTTTATACCTTTATATATCCCCCCCCTTTTGTTTTAGAGAAAACAAAATTCTGTATTTGTGAGTTAATATATGTAAAGTATTTAAAATAGTGCTTAGTGGCCAGGCACAGTGGCTCACGCCTGTAATCCCAGCACTTTTGGAGGCCAAGGCGGGCGGATCACCTGAGGATCAGGAGTTAGAGACTAGACTGGCCAACATGGCGAAACCCCATCTCTACTAAAAATACAGAAATTAGCCAGGTATGGTGACACACGCCTGTAATCCCAGCTACTTGGGAGGCTGAGGCAGGAGAATCATTTGAACCCAGGAGTTGGAGGTTGCAGTGGGCCGAGATCCCACCAGTGCACTTCAGCCTGGGCGACAGAGTGAGATGCCATCTCAAATAATAATAATAAATAAATAAATAAATAAAATTAAATAGTGCTTAGCACACAGTAAGTACAACATCAGTGTTTGCTGTTTGCTGTGGGAAGCTGAGGGCAGACCCAAGTCCACCTGTGCGCTCCCCTGCCCCACCTCTCTGTAGAGGGAGCCTCCTTCCTCCTCATTCTGGGGCATCTTGAAGCACATGTTTCTCCAGCCCACCAGAAGAGGGAGCCCTCAGCAAGGGCACACAGCTGGGGACGGGGTAGAGGAGATATGTATTGGTTCTGCCTTGGGCTTGACTTTCCTAGGTCAGGGTGTCCCAGTCTCAAGATTTTGAATTTACAATTGAACTCCTTCCCCATTAACACCTGGCCCTTGGATACTAAGCCATGGGCTGTCTGGGGGTCATCTAACGTTTGTTATCTAACCGACTGACCTTGGAGGTCAACTACCTACTTCTTCCCTCACTGTCCATATGACAAAACTCAGCCCCAGAGAAGTGGGATTTGCCCAGTGAACTGCTGTGGGTCCATGAAACTGCTTCATATAGTTATGTAGCATTCAGTAGAGTCTGTAATAGTCAGATGTGACCTTTGGTTCCCCACCTCTTGTCCTGCATCAGATTGTCTCCCAGTGGCTCAGGGACCCATGCGAACACTTGTTGGACTCACTCGTTGACCCTTCTGTCCTCTCCCCTCCAGGTGACAAATGTGGATGACGAGGGGGTGGAGCTGGGCTCTGGGGTGATGGAGCTGACGCAGAGTGAGCTGGTGCTGCACCTGCATCGGCGTGAGGCCGTCCGCTGGCCCTACCTCTGCCTGCGGCGCTATGGCTATGACTCCAACCTCTTCTCCTTTGAGAGTGGCCGCCGATGTCAGACAGGTCAGGGTGAGTACCAGGCCCTGCTCCACCGTGGGATAGGGGCTTATGCAGGACTCTAGGGTTCCTAATGTACAGATTAGCTCTTAAGAGGTTAATGTTGTCCCCATCACCTGTGGGCAGTAGAGTGTGATGTATTCTCCCTGCAGTCAGAGGTCAGGGGTGGTAGGTTATTCCATGAGATCAAGGCTAGAGCCAGCCACGGCTCTCTGAAGGAGTGGCATGGTCTGGGTTTATCTCTTAGGATTCAGACTTAAGCTGTGCAAAAGGAATACTGTATGGGATTGTGTTCAGTGCAGTTTGGGATTATGACTATGCAGAGGTGGAATGAAGAAGCTTCTCTGATGAGGCTGCCAACAAAATAGTGAGCCTCTGAGGTCATGGTTGCTGGAGGAGACAGCCCTCCATACATCTTACCCTTGGAGTTCATGAGGCAGAGGCATGGGCGCTGGGTGAGCAGGCAGAGTGGGCAGAGATATCCGTGCTTCTAGTGATGTTTGATCTACACTTGGGTTCCCAGGGGGGCTACCCCGGCCCCAGCACAGGGTTCCCTGCAACTCCAGGCTTTCCCAGTCTTTTGTATTTCTCGTCGTATTTTGCCAGAGTACTTCTTTTCCTTCACTATTTCCTCCCCATCCTATTTGTGCAAACCACAGTTATCCCATTCCACAGCCTAATTGTGTCTTACTTGTGGGTATATGCACAGGCACACCCCAAGTAGCCTCCCCTAGGTCCCAGGTCCGCCTGTTACAGAGGGGAGTGTGGGAGTCCAGGCTGGCCCAAGACCCCAAGGGCATCTTTGAGTCCCCTGATTCACAAACACTCAGCCCAGTCCTGCTGTTCCTGGGACCTTGAGTTGCAGTGTTGCAGTTTGAAGGGCTGTAAGGCTGGCTGCATTGAGGAGCCATGTGATTGCCTTGCCATATTTGCCTTTAGCTAGTCTGCCCATCATTTCTTTCTTCCCACACCAGAGTTTAATGTATGAGGTCAGGGACCTGTATACAGTAGGCATTCGCTTTCTGGCCACGCACTGGGCTAATAAGTGAATAAGCAGGGAACAGAGTAGACCCTCTTGTCATCAGTGATCTGAGGACTGGTGCTCTGGATGGAGCTTTTTTTCCTAGGAAGCAGGGGGTGTTAGGCAGAGGAAGATGGGGGCAGCATGTGACGTAGAATGTTCACTCACCTGGCCGGGTGCAGTGGCTCACGCCTGTAATCCCAGTACTTTGGGAGGCCAAGGTGGATGGATCACGAGGTCAGGAGATTGAGACTATCCTGGCTAACACGGTGAAATCCCGTCTCTGCTAAAAATACAAAAAATTAGCCGGGTGTGGTGGCGGGCGCTTGTAGTCCCAGCTACTCGGGAGGCTGAGGCAGGAGAATGGCGTGAACCCAGAAAGCGGAGCTTGCAGTGAGCCGAGATCACGCCACTGCACTCCAGCTTGGGCGACAGGGTACCCTGGTACCCAAGGTACCCTGCCCCACCACGCCCACACCACATTAAACACTCCAGCTATATTCCTCTGAGGTGAAATCATTTTCATAAGGATGTGTGAGTTCAGGTATCACAAGAAGAGAATCAAAATCAAGGTGGAGGCCGGGCATGATGGTTCATGCCTGTAATCCCAGCACTTTGGGAGGCCGCAGCAGGCGAATTACCTGAAGTCAGGAGTTTGAGACCAGGCTGACCAACATGGTGAAACCCCATCTCAACTAAAAATACAAAACATTAGCTGGGCATAGTGTCGGACACCTGTAATCCCAGCTAATTGGGAGGCTGAGGTAGGAGAATCTCTTGAACCTGGGAGGTGGAGGTTGCAGTGAGCTGAGATCGTACCATTGTACTCCACCCTGGGCAACAAGAGTGAAACTCCGTCTCAAAAAAGAAAAGAAAAAGGATGCTCGGGATGAGAAGAGGCTCTCCTGCCCCGCAGGACTGGGACTGGAGTTCAGGGACATTTCCTGCACATTATGCATCTGTTGAGCTCCTCTGGTCCTACCCTATTGGGCCCAGGGTCATTTCTTCCTCTCCTTCTCCAGGAATATTTGCATTTAAGTGTTCCCGGGCTGAGGAAATCTTCAATCTCCTTCAGGATCTGATGCAGTGCAACAGCATCAATGTGATGGAAGAACCTGTCATCATCACCCGCAATAGCCACCCCGCTGAGCTTGACCTCCCTCGAGCTCCCCAGCCACCCAATGGTGAGGAGCCCCCAGTGTATACACACGCACAGGCCCAGGAAGCACAAATCTTGGAGGGATGAGTCAAGCTGGCAGGTTAGGGGAAGGCTGGGTGAGCCAGCCTTCCAGGACAGTTGTCCATGATCAGAACCGTTCTTGAGGATCGATAAATCCTGGGCTAGGCTAGGTGACTCAGGCTGAGGCTGTTGAGTCCTGGGCCTTGTATTGACGGATGATTGGGGAGCAGACAGGAAGACTTCGGGTTTCCGTAGAAACGGCAATCTGGAGTTTTTTTGCTTTCTTCCTCTGTCTATTGGGTCATCCCCATATACTTTCCTTGCTGCTGGTGCAGGCATCTCTGGCCATGACTGTATTCTGGAGAGGGTCCTACAATTTCTGCTTATTCAGTCATTGAATTCAGACCAGGCACCTGCTTGGTGTTCTGAGCTCCCTGGACTGGCCCATGGGGGACAGGAGAAATAGAAGCACAGTCCTTTTTTTGAGGAACTTCCCTGGACCTTACTGGCAGACCTAGAATGAAGCAAAGGGATGATCCAGTGACAACAAGATGTGCTTTATGCATTTTGGGTGAGGCTATAATGGAGACAGTGGTGAGGTGCTTCAAGCTGAGCTTGAGGGAAAGGGCAGGGTTTGAAGAGCAGAGGAAAGATGAAGGATAATGGGGGCTGGTGGCTCAGTGGGGTTTAACCACTGTGAGGCCCTGAGAACATCTCTCTTCCACTGGAGGAGTCCCAGAATGCCGCACACACAGCTGCAAGTGGTTGTCAGGTGGCTTAAGTTCCCCTCCCCTGGACTTGTCTCCCCTGTGTCCAGCTCTAGGCTACACTGTCTCCAGCTTTTCCAATGGCTGCCCTGGAGAGGGCCCACGATTCTCAGCTCCCCGGCGGCTCTCAATGAGCAGCCTACGGCACCCCTCGCTTGGGGAAGAGTCCACCCATGCCCTCATTGCTCCTGATGAGCAGGTGAGCAAGCAGCCGGCCAGCCCCTACCCTGTTGGTCTGGGTGGGGATGAGGGATAGGAAATAAGGCCACCTCCTCCCAGTAAGGATCACGGGAAGGGGAAGAACATTGTTAGGGTCCCTTCCTGTCCCTAAAAGGGAGTAGCTTCCTTGGAAGAGTTGGAGGACAAGGAAGAAGAAACTCCAGCTCTTTTTCTGTGTGCTTTTCTTCTCTCATTCTGTCCCTTCTGTTCTCTTTTCTCCCTGCCCTGGGACACTCCTGCCTCACTTGGACTCTCTGTCCCCAGTCCCACACCTATGTCAACACACCAGCCAGTGAAGATGACCACCGCAGGGGCCGCCACTGCCTGCAGCCCCTGCCTGAGGGTCAGGCGCCCTTCCTCTCGCAGGCCCGGGGTCCTGACCAACGGGACCCACAGGTGTTCTTGCAGCCAGGCCAGGTGAAGTTTGTGTTGGGCCCGACCCCTGCTCGGCGGCACATGGTGAAGTGCCAGGGCCTCTGTCCCAGCCTGCATGACCCCCCACACCACAATAATAACAATGAGGCCCCTTCCGAGTGCCCAGCCCAGCCCAAGTGCACCTACGAGAACGTCAGTGGGGGGCTGCGGCGAGGGGCCGGCTGGAGACTGAACCCAGAGGAGCCGGGCTGGAATGGCCTTGCCCACCGCCGGGCCGCCCTGCTGCACTATGAGAACCTGCCCCCGCTGCCCCCTGTGTGGGAGAGCCAAGCCCAGCAGCTGGGAGGGGAGGCTGGGGATGATGGGGACTCAAGGGATGGGCTCACACCCTCTTCCAATGGTTTCCCTGATGGTGAGGAGGACGAGACCCCACTGCAGAAGCCCACCAGCACCCGGGCCGCTATCCGCAGCCATGGCAGCTTTCCTGTGCCACTGACCCGCCGCCGCGGCTCCCCAAGGGTCTTCAACTTTGATTTCCGCCGGCCGGGGCCCGAGCCCCCAAGGCAACTTAACTACATCCAGGTGGAGCTAAAGGGCTGGGGTGGAGACCGCCCTAAGGGGCCCCAGAACCCCTCGAGCCCCCAAGCCCCCATGCCCACCACCCACCCTGCCCGAAGCTCAGACTCCTACGCCGTGATTGACCTCAAAAAGACAGTGGCCATGTCCAACCTGCAAAGAGCTCTGCCCCGAGACGACGGCACCGCCAGGAAAACCCGGCACAACAGCACCGACCTGCCTCTGTAGGGACGTCCCGGTCCTCACCACCCTCTGCCCCACCGTGATCCAGCCTCTGCCTCACACTCCTGTCCTCTGAACCTACCCTCCCCAGGGTTCAGGGTTGCTCTGCAGAAGGCATGGAGGTGGGACCCGATGCTTCCCTGTGCTGGCTGGAGTCCCCAGAGATGTCAGCCTCCGAGTCTCCTGGTCTGTCTCCAGGCTGGGGAGAGAAGGGTGACCAGGCGAGGAGGGAGCCGAGACATCAACTGTGAAGGGTTCCTGTGATTGCGTTTAGCACCCTCCCGTTCTGTCCGTTTGTCTTGTCTGCTGACTGTCCGTGTGTGTTTTTTTTGGTTGGAATTTTGAAACATTTTGTACCTGTTGATTTTATTTATCAGTTTATTTTTCTATTTATTGTTTTAAATGTAATTTAACATATTTATTATTAATATAATTATTTTTAAATTCTGGCCCAGTGGATATCATCTTCTTAGGGAATCTTTTCTGGTGTGGTACTGAGTTGGACACAGGGCAGGCCTAATTGAGGTAAGGGTTTCACTCTGGGGAATTTGGGGCAGTTATGGTTTTTGTGACAAGTCTGTGATTTTTTTTTTTTTTTTTTTTTTTGAGACGGAGTTTCGCTTTTGTGGCCCAGGCTGGAGTGCAATGGCATGATTTCAGTTCACTGTAACCTCCGCCTCCCGGGTTCAAGCAGTTCTCCTGCCTCAGCCTCCCAAGTAGCTGGGATTACAGGTGTCTGCCACCACGCCCAGCTGATTTTTGTATTTTTAGTAGAGATGGGGTTTCTCCATGTTGGCCAGCCTGGTCTCGATCTCCTGACCTCAGGTGATCCACCCACCTCGGCCTCCCACAGTGTTGGGATTATAGGCATGAGCCACCACACCCGGCCAGTCATTTATTGTTCTCCTCCAAGAAGCCCTGGCCATGAACTTAAAGTTGCCGGGGACGGATGCTCTGTTGAAGGAAAGCGGTGGGATGGCTGGAGTCCTAGAAGCCAAAAGAGGGGCCTGTGAGGACTGCCCTAATGAGGTAGAGCCCCAGCCGTCTGAGGCTGACAACAGGTGGGGAGTGCAGTGGAGTGGACACAGCTACAGAAGACATACCTTCACCTTCTCGGGGAGCCTTCACTGATGCCCTTGCAAGTAGGCAGGCCCCAAAGGGCACTGCTGTCCTTTACCACCTTGGCCCAGAGATGGACCCTGGATCCTCCTTAGCTGCCCCCAGCATGGCTGAGTCAAGACTAGACCTTTAAACAGGACTTTACTAAAATCCCAGGATTATCGCAAAATGAAAAAACATGGTGTAATGTGTAACTAGATAATCTGGCTTGCTAAGTGTCTTTCCTAGAGAATGTCTCTTCAGGAATGGACTGTTAGGATGCCTCTACCCTGCCACAAGGCTGGGCGCTAACAGAGCCGCCACGTTGGAGCACCTGCCTAGAAGCGCAGGGTCCAATGGGGATGTGCTGCACGCACACCCTAGTGCTGATTCATTCCAGGAGCTCCTCTCTCTGTCCTGAGGCTGCCTCTCTCCTCTTCCTTCTCTTGCTGGCTTCCTTTCCTCCAAAACTCCATTTCTATCTGAAACCCCAGTGCGGTTCATCTAAAGGAAATCCTGCTTTTGTGATAAGCCACTCAGGGCCCAGGTGAAGAATGAGGAATGAAGAATTCCTCACCAAGGAAACAAGCCCAGGCAAGACACCCCATCCAGTTCCCTCCCCCTCCTACTGTCCAGGACACTGCTGCCTGGGCCTCATTTCCTGGAGCTCACCTCCACTGAGTGGGGGTTGGACTGGCAAGCTTCCAGACCCCCCCGACCTCAGGTGTCACTTTCTGTCAGGGAAATGGGCAGTGACAACTGGCCACAACAGGATGTGAAAAGGCCCTTCGAGTGGGGCCCAGCAGAGCTCAAGAGGGCAGCTGCCACAACCCCAGAGCTGGCACCAAACCCTTCTCCCCCTTATATCCTTTTGATCTCTGGACCAGAGGGGTCACCTGCTGCAGGTTGGATTCATGGCAGTTTTCCACGCTGCAGTAGGGAAATGCCGTCTTCTCTCTGCAGCTTATCCAAGCAGTTCGATTCTGTTTGGATGTCCTCATACACTTGCCCCTGCTACTACTCGTGACCTCCACAGTCGGGGTGGTGGGTGTCTCCGAACAGGAGGGTGGATGTGGGGGAGCAGGTATGGCTATGCCAGGACCAGAGTTAGGGGTCCTGGCCGTGCTTGGGACTCATGCGTCAGTGCAGGTTCCGCCTTATCAATGGATAGATACTATGATGCGGTAGCCAGAGGCTGGCTTAAGAGACCCAGGGTCCTGACTTGGTCATTATCTCTGCTACCTTAAGCATTCGGTTACCCAAATGGGCTCAGTGTTTGCACCTGGAAGACATGGAGCTGGTATGAGAAGTAACCAATGAAACGATGAACATGGCACCACGTTGGAAGTAGACAAGACTCCTGCAAGTTGTGTTAACAACCCAGCTGTTCCCTTAGAAGTCACAACTCTTAAGTCCCTCAGGCTGTCGCTTTGCTGAACAAATCAAGAAGGGGCAGTTATTCTCATTCTCTGGGTCCCCAGATCCTGGCCTGACCCCTGGGGTCTCCCTAGAGCAAGTCATAATTGCTTCGATGAGCATGTTTGTGGGGCTTGGGGGAGTCGACTTGCAGCTCAGTGTGGCCCCCAACCTTTCCTTTCCCCTCCCCTGGTCACTGCTTCTGGCTCATGGGGTCTACTACAGGAATTTTCCTCTCGAGGGAAGGACAGGGTGTGAGTGGACAGCTTTCCTGGCGGGAAGGGGTGGGTGGGAGTGATGCACAGGAGGGTAACTGCCGCCCCTGTGTTTGAGCCCGCCCTGCCGACAGGGTGTGGTGCACAGATAGAATCAGTTTCCATCACCATCATCATCCAAAGATCATCACCAACATCAGTACGTGTTTGCCGAGTGCTGGGTTCTCTTCTTTAGAAACAGGCCCTACCCACCCCTGGGCTGCCCTCAGGAAAGGACAGGATCCAGCATCCTGTCTGGGAGTGACATTTCAGGTCAGACCAGGAGGGGCCCTCCCCAAGGTCCCCCCGGGTAATAATAGCACTTTACAAGGGTATAAACACAGTCAGCTTTCCACAGGGCCTTGTTATTTATCTTTATCAGGACTCACTGGCGGGATGTTATCATCACTGTACAGAGGAGGAAACAGGCCAAGAGGTGACGTAACTTGCCTCGGGCCATGAAGTTAATTGGTGGCTTGGGCTAGGGCTGGATGCCGGTCGTGTGTCTCCTCCACCCCCCGCTCCCTGCCTGGCCTGAAAGAGCCTCGTTCCCTCAGGTGGGCTGCAGGGAGACTGTGTTGGGTGCTTCTCCCTGGGTTGAGTCCCAGCAGGGGATCACATTCCAGTGCTCCCACATAGGAATCCTGAAATTCAAGGCAGGGCCTTCTCAGTTAACTACAGGGTGACCCTGCTCTCCCCTGGGGCCTGCCCTACGCCCACCTACCAACTCTGCCCCTCTACTCTCATTTCCTCAGAAATGGCTCCTGGTTGTATCGATGGGAGAGGCCAGGGCAGGTGTGCAAGAAGCAGCTTGACTTCACTCGCCCCTGCCTGCCTCTCCGGAGAGCAAATCAGCCTCAGGGGAGGCCCTCAGAGCTTAGGCTCCCTGAGTTCTGGGGCGCTCTCTGACCAATATCTTCAAGGGGCATCCTACTCACAGGTGGGGGGCTTGTAATGAGGCACCTTGGGCCTTCAGAAAGGTATAGGGAGGGCTGAGGCAAGGGTGGGGAGGGCTTCAGGGCTCTGTATAGTTCACAGGGTACAAGATAGAATCTCAGAGCTTGTAGGGCAGCTAAACTAGGACCCATCCAGGGATTTCTGCAACAGGATTCCTGAAGATGTTTATCTAGTGTTTGCTCACACATTTCCAGGACGGGGAGCTCACTACCTAACAAACCCTCCCTCGACTCAAGTCTTATGAAGTCCCTACAATTCTTCCCATTGGGTCCTAATTCTGCTCCTGGATCGGAGCATGGCTAAGTCTAGTCTCTCTGCCAAGGGTGCTGAACTTTGAAAGTTGGCGTCACTACTTACTAACAACTTGACTCATGCCCCAGTTTCCTCATCTGTCACACAGGCTTAATAACAGTTGTTGTGAGGGTCAAACAAGAGAATGTCTACCCAGCATGAACCATGGCGACTGCCCATAGTAGGTGCTCAGTAAGTGGCAGATGTTATTTTTACCTGAACATGTTTTCTTTCTTGCTTGCTTGCTTGCTTTCTCTCTCTCTCTCTCTTCTCTCTCTCTCCCCTCTCTCTCTTTCTTTCTTTTTTTCTTTCTCTCTCTCTCCTCTTTCTTCTCTCTCTCTCTTTCTTCTTTCTCTTTCTCTTTTTCTTTCTCTTTCTTTCCTTCCTTCCTTCCTTTCCTTTCCTTTCCTTTCCTTTCCTTTCCTTTCCTTTCCTTTCCTTTCCTTTCCTTTCCTTCCTTTCTTTCTTTCTTTCTCTTTTTTTGAGATGGAGTCTCACTCTGTAGCACAGGCTGGAGGGCAGTGGTGTGATCTTGGCTCACTGCAACCTCCGCCTCCCAGGTTCAAGCGATTCTCTTGCCTCAGCCTCCCGAGTAGCTGGGATTACAGGTGCCCGCCACCACACTCAGCTAATTTTTGTATTTTTAGTAGAGACGAGGTTTCACCATGTTGGCCAGACTGGTCTCAAACTCCTGACCTCAAGTGATCTGCTGTCCTTGGCCTCCCAAAGTGCTGGAATTACAGGCATGAGCCACCACACCCGGCCCTGAACATGGTTCTTTCCAGCATGGCTAGGTGTCTACCGCTTTGTGTTCTAGTTTGACCCAGAACTGAGTACCCAACTTAGCATAAGTATAATGTCCAAGTTAGCACTTTACTGGCCCTGTTGGCTTTTGGGCCCTTAAAGCTGATCCTGACCTGAAATCACCAGGTCTCCACTTAAACAACTGCAGCATTCCTCACCCCTGACCCCTTCTATGTTGGAGTCCTTGGCTTGTTAACTGTCCATTCATTCAGGTGACATTTCTTCTTGATGACTGGAGTCTGTTCCGGAATTTAGAGGCACTAAATTGTCGCTAAGACAAGTGAAGAGTAGAGAGGGGTGGCTGGGGGTGTCTGAGAGAAGTGTCTGGGAGGAGGGTCTCCGCTGAGGGTGGATCGTGAGGCTGGAGTACCTGGAGCTCTCAGCCAAGTGCTTCTGGGAACTTGGTTCTGTGAGCCCCCTGACAAGAAGGTCTTCTCGCCACTTGTTCTTTTTCTTTCTTTCTTTCTTTGAGACAGAGTCTCACTCTGTCACCCAGGCTGGAGTGCAATGGCATGATATCGGCTCACTGCAACCTCCACCTCCCAGGTTCAAGCGATTCTCCTGCTTCAGCTGGGATTATAGGCACCCGCCACCACGCCCAGCTAATTTTTGTATTTTTAGTAGAGACTGGGTTTCACCAT